ATTAGATCATTAAATCTTGGCATAGGAAAACGGTATTTTACCATTATTTTGTTAATAGCTCGGCTGTCTATACACATCCGCCATTGGCCATCCTTCTTCGGCACAATAAGAGCTGGGACGGCACACGGGCTCATGCTGGGTTGTATGAGCTGTTTCTGGAGCAGTTCATCAACAATCTCTTGCAGTATTGCATGTTCTTTCGGACTCATACGGTAATGAGGTAAATTTGGCAACGACGCCCCTGGAACAAACTCAATCTGATGCTGGAGCTGACGGAGAGGCGGTAATCCCGTGGGAAGATCGGTTGGCATGACATCTCTATAATCTGTGAGAAGTTCCCGCACCAACGCAGGGATGTTATCAACATTCCCGTTTGCGAACACATTACTGCAGCATTGTTCCGTTACCAACAATCCAATTAACACCTCCCTCTCCGCTTTATTCTGTAATAGTGTAGATCCTGGGGTGATGTACACGACAGATTTGTCACGGGCAGCAGTTGAATTTACGGTTTGGCTTTGAGGTAGCAGCCGGATCTTCCGGTTCTTCCATTCAAAAGTGTAAATATTGGATCGGCAATCATGAGTGGCACCACTATCAAATTGCCATGGTCTCCCTAGAATGAAATGGCAAACATCCATTTCTAATACATCACAGAGCACCTCACATGAATAGTGTTTCCCAATGGTGAAAGTAATGCGGCACATGTCGGAGACTAGAATTTCCATTCCTTTTCGAACCCAGCTGATTTTATAGGGATTGGGATTCTTCGTAGTCTTCAACTGTAAGGCATTAACTGCCACACGGGATATAATGTTCTCGGTGCACCCGTTGTCTATTAGCAATTCACAAATTTTTTCGTTGATAGTGCACCGTGTGCGAAATAGAGAATTTCGCTGTGATTCAGCTGGTAATCTAGGTGCTATCAATAGCTTCTCTAGGACACAAAGCAGAGGTTCACCAACATCTCCTGATAATTCTTCCTCTTCAAATTCGGTGGCTTCCTCAGCAGCAGTAGCTTCAGCTTCTTGTTCCCCGTCAATCAATTGAAGTTGTGGCCTGAAGGACACTCATTGGACCTATGCCCCGGTTGAAAGCAACGAAAACACTTTAGAGTAGTTGGCCTGGTATAGGGATTATCTTTCTTTGCAGGAATGGGGAATTTCGTCGGTGCAGCGGAATTGTTAGCATTGCTCCCGCTGGCTGAGGCCGCGGACTGTGATGCTTTCGGACTCGGGACGGCTGGCCTTCCGCCTTCTGTCCTGGTATCAATTGTTGTTCTACAGTTGCCATAAGATCGAGAATGCCTCTGTAATTGACTTTCGGCTTTCATAGCGAAGTTAACCGCTTGGGATAATGACCATACCGAGTTCAATTCTAATTTATCTTGGAAGATATCACGTAATCCCCCAATGTAACGGGCTACCAATTGATTTTCAGTCTCATGAAGGTTATTCCGAGCGCTAAGCCTGTAGAACTCCTCCGTGTAATCGGCAATTGATCGACTTCCTTGGATGCAATGTTGATATTGTAGGTAGAGCATCTGCTCGTAGTCAGTCGGTAGATAATGACCCCTCAACAATTGTTTCATGCGAGGCCAGTTGCGAACAACTCCTCGCCCTTCGCGTCGCCGAGTTTGCAACACCTGCATCCACCAAGCGCTTGCCCCGCCTCGAAGTCTGCAGGCGACATACTTCACCTGTTTTTCAGGGGGAATCTCCATATAATCAAAAAACGTCTCCACCGCCTGCTCCCAGTCTAAATAGTCTTCGATGTGTAACCTTACATCGAAAAATGGAATGTCCAATTTGACGCGGAAATCACCTGGTCCGCGGTGATGCATTTCCCGTCGATTTCGAATTTCAGTTGGCCTTCCTTGGTCATCTTCAGCTGAATCTGCATTATCATGTGGGAAGTTTTCATCCAACTCTTCTTCCGATCCAGATAAATCGGGAATCACCTGTCGGCCTCTAGGCGGATTCCTGACATTTCTCAAATTGTCTCTGGGTAATCGGAAGGGAATGTTCAGACGGGGATCGGGAACAGGGGTAGGGTAATCAGGCAACAACGGTGGTAATGGTGGTAGTCGATGACGCACTTCCATCGTGAATTTATGGAATGCGTCAATGAGTTCGGTCAGTTGTTTTGCGGTGCTGTGATGAGCAGCCCACAAAGCGTCCAGACTTCGATCTTCGTCGGAAGTCGAGCGTTTACTGCTTTCCGCCATCAATGCCGGACTCGGAATCCCTGCTCTGATACCAAAAATCCTGGTGCAGCGGCTGGAAGAAGCAAACCTGCAAGGAAAATAAGAACACAAGAAGAAGGAGGAAGAAGAACAAAGGAGAAGGGAAGCAATGGAACAGTAATTTGGTATATGATTTTCTGTCTTCTAACGTTCTCAGCTGCAGCTCATAATACCTCTACTCAAAGTGAGGTTAAAACAGTAAAAAGCAAAAGTAATTCTAATTACTGGAAATAAGTAAATGCCATAACAGAAATCTGTTATGAGGTAGTGGGTTTCCTCCCATCACGTGGCCACGTGGATATTCCACATGTGCGCTGCGCTGTTTATTCTACGAGTTCAATCTAGCTTACAAGTCGACTCGTTTATTATGAAAGAGATAATAATAATAATGATTTAATTAATTATTATAATAAAATGGATAAAAAGAATGATAAAGTTTAAGAAAAATAATGAAAAATCATTTAATATATGAAAGTCTGATATAATTCTAAACATTTTTAACAACTTTATGCTTAAAATTATGAATCCTAATATATTTTAAGCATATTTAATATTAATCTTTTGTAAACACGCCAACTCACGAGCTAATGAGTTGAGGCTAGCTCAAACTTGACTCATTAGTTCACCAAGTCCAACTTAAGAGCTATTTATCGAATCGAGTTGGAGTCGACTTGACTCACTACTCTAATTAGTTTTATCAAATTGTAGGATGAGTATGATACTCGAATTAAAGCATGATGAGCTGATGTATAATAATTCGAGAAGAATCTTCTTTGAGGCCAAGATGCAGGAGTTGAGTGCTATGAATGAATGATCCAATTTGGTGGGACACGTGTATGATATGATTAAATCATGACTAGGTTTGAAATTCAATGATGCAATTTAAATTAATAATGCTCAAATCAATATAATATCTCAATTTATGCTGAAGATAATTGTTGATCAAAATGCATTTCACTCAGGAAAAAAAAATGATCATAATAAACTTTAAACTGTGTAATTTAATAATTGATGGATAAGTTATATATGATATAATATCAACATCAATAGAATGGCTATAAAAAATCATCCAAATTAAATTTGGGTCCACGTTTTAATGAGATGATAATGAGATTATGAATCAAATTATTCACACCCTTTATGATTTTCAAAAATGATTTTTTTTGTAACAGTAACATCAATGGCAATTATTAAGGGGCTCTTTGATTGGAGGAAAAAGATATACTGTGTAAAATGAATGCATTACTTTCATACTTTTTGGTATTTGGTTAGACATAATGTAAAGTAAAATCTTAATGTATTAGAAACTTACCGTTATACCTCATTTCACGCATGAACGAAATCCGCAGCGAAAAAGGAATTCACATGGGCACGAGAGAGAAGCCCTCAGTTTGTTTCTTCCTCCATTGTCGCAGTAACCCTTTTGCTTTTCTTCATTGATGTTCGGCTTTGCCTGCTTCGCGTGAGGTAGACTTTTGAATGAATCATTAAAAAGCTCCTTCGCCTCCTTCAATGATGTTTTGTCCTAACCGGATATGCTATTCCGCATCTCTCTGCATGCGGACGAAACCAAAACAAAGCCCCAACTTCTCGACTTCAATGCTTCAGCTCCGACAGGAAGTCATGGCTTGCCGAGTTTTGGAGTAGGTAAGTCACGAATAGGTTTGTTGAGGATGAACGGATGGATGGTAATGCTACTTTAGCTGGAATGGATGACGAAAAAGAAACTGGAAGAAGTTCAAGACTCCTTGCATGAACAACCCGCAAATGCAAACATGCAGGTTTGCGATCCGAACTGAAACATTCCATGTTGATTTTTTTTTTTCTTAGAGCAAATGTGATGGTTTGGACAAAAATTCTAATAAGAATGTGAATGCTAAGGAAGCAAGCAGGTGTGTCCAAATTGAACCATCCAAGACCACATTGCTACAGATTTTTGCACGCAAGTGTTTGTGAGAATGCCCCAGGAGTGTCCCTCCAGCTTAAAACTTTCCTGCTGCCCCTCTAGCAGATGTTATTGGACACACAAATTTTTAAATCTAAAAAAATATACTGATTTTAAATTACTCTGCATACACCCAACCAAACATAAAAAAACATAATGACACTTTGATGTTTTGGCTTCTCTTATATGTGCTTTCATAGAGTTTCTAATTTCTAGTATTCCCTCTCATCTTTTATATTTCATGATCAGAGATTTTGCTTGCATATGGAGACAAAAATGACAAGATAATTCCCCCTCTTGACCTTTTCCCTTCATTATTTAATAAGTATTTTTATAATAAGCCTATGAAGGATGATTTCAATTTAGAGAAACAATTAGTGCAGGCAATAATATCGTATTAATATTGTTTGTACTACGTTTTTGTATATTTATTGCAAAATATATTTTCAAATGCTGGCTTTTTTTATTTATTTTTTTCTTGTACCATTGACAGTTCATAAACATCACTTTATTATTCAAAAACTTTGAATTACTATAATAATTGTTAGATTTATTATTACACTTTTAAAAGAAATAATAACCACGCCTCATTATATGACCTTCATTTTAAAGGCTAATAATCCTAAAGATTATGTTGTCTTCTATAGATTAATCCTAAGATTACATAAATCTTTTTGCTTTCAAAAAGGCTTAAAAGCATAAAACAACTAGTTAAATTGATTTATTAAAATTTAGCAAGATTTTCCGATTGTCATGCCCAACAATTTTAAAGACTTAATGTGAAACCTTTTAAGTAAAATAAAACTAATTCTTAAACATCAAGGCACATTTTGGTATAATGACTAGAATTTTCATAAGAAACTCTGCAGTTAAGTGTGCACATCCTGGAGCAATTCTGGGATGGATGACCTACTGGAAAATTACACCAACATGACAAAACTATGAGGTTCTTAGGCCAACGAGGACAATATCTCTATAGTTAAGAGTTCGGTAAGTTACAAATAAAATCAGAACATTACACCAACCAGAAGATGGGAGTAAGTGTCAAACAAGACAAAGTGCTACGTCATGGGAGACACCTCTTGAATCATGCATGGGACAAAGTGTTACATGACGGGAGCCACCACTTGAGCTTATAGGGGCCACCTGTAGAGTCTTATCTGCCTGGTGGATGATTCTAGGATAAATATGCTGACGAGGACGTAAGTTACTTAAGCGGGGGAGATTGTGAAACCCCTTGAGTAAAAGAAAACTAACTCTTCAACATCGAGGTACCTTTTGGTGTAATGATTGGAATTTCCATAAGAAACTCTGCAATTAAGTGTGCTCATTCCGGAGCAATTATGGGATGGGTGGCCTACTGGGAAGTTACACCAACATGGCAAAACCGTGAGACTCTTAGGCCAAAGTGGATAATATCTCGATAATTAAGAGTTTGAGCTGTTACACTTAACCCTCTTAGAGATTTACTAAATCCAACTTTGTAGCCAGCAAAAATGATACATTTTTTATCCATATAAAATAACTTTTCATTCACAAATTAAAAGAATAAAAAGGTCAATAGACATCAAAGAAGAAAATTAAGGAAAAGAACTGTAACTTTCTATGAGGGCCTATGTTATCAGATGACAGAAGAAATATCCTTACGTGATGAAAAATTCTTCCAGGATGAATAACAGCGTTAGTGGATTTGTCATATAACACCACTAAATGATGTTTAACTCACTATGCGACCTGTTGAGAAAGCTCACGTCAGAAACAAATAACGAAACAATTCAAGAACATACTGAGAGAACAACAAAATAGCAGCTACTTACCACGTCGTTGTTCGAGAGCAATTAAGGCATTCTGTAGGATCTCCCTCGCTTTTCTATCAGGAGTGCAGCCGGCATACTCCATTTGTTTATATATTATTGGCACCTGAATATTACAGCTCATGAGTTGGGATAAAACAAAAGAGATAGTCTATAAGTCCTTTCACATTTCTTTTCCATTTGAATTTGGGCTTGTTTGTGATGTTTTCCTATGCATTTTGCAACATACAACATGCATGATTAAGCCGCACAAAACACCTTAGTGTTCAAGCTGCTTGCAACTGAAGAGAGTGTTATGTGTAGAATCTGATTGTGTTGAATAATCTAATTGTTTTGTTGCCTCGAATCTTAAGTTTCTCGTGCTTGCTAGGGGGTGTGGAGGGTTTACCCCTCCTTGGGCAAGCACCTGAATTTTTTTTATTTTTTTTCGAGCAATTCCTTAGCACTACATACCCGAGCGCCCAACGCTATGTCCTCGGCCTCCCCAGCGTTGAATAACAGAGAGCAGAGCACCGCAACAATATAGATATAATGCCACAGTGGATCAACATAAAGGTTTGAGTGCCGCAAAGCCCCAAACTGGTGTCACAGCGCTGCTAGACGGACTGGACAGTTTTCTTTCTCATTTTTCTAAAGGGTTGCGTCCCTTAGGGTTATTTTACTTGGCTTTCTCTTGTATTTTGTGTGTGTAGACATTGAAAACTATGCATGTGAGAAGATAAGCAAGGAGAGAGTGAGAGAGAGAGGAGAGATTTGTACTTATTTCTCCCAATTTTCATAGTGAATTTCTTGGTGTGGTGTGGCTCCGTGGTTTTTTCCCCCATTTTGAATTTTTTCGCGTTATCCTTTACTTTTCCGATGCTTTTACTTTTATGCTTGTTTCATAATTGTGATGTTTACTCCTCATCTCCCCAACAGAGAGTTAGGAAACACCATAAGTGAAGACAAAGTGAAAAAGACAGAAGACGAGTTGATTGTCTTGTTTGTTCGAAGTGAAGGGTAAGGGCACTTTTATATGGAGAATACATAGGCAACGGAAGAGTAAAAAAAAAAGATCCGCAAACAAAATAAATAATAGCAATTAGCATTCGATGGTAAAGAATTCCATATTTGGATGTCCACACTCCACAGGAATAGCATCTTGCTGTCTTAGCAATGTTCACAGATCCATCAGTTGGCTGCCATTTAATGCTTTCTTAATTGCTAAACCCACAATTATTTGCTTCCACATTAGTGTCCTGAACTTTATCCATCATAATTCCTGCACATGGCAGCCTTCCAGTTCCTTCCTTGCTCAAGGATTTCCATAGAAATGATCGTCTATTCTTAAGCTAAGGCAAAAAAGAAATGGGCATGGCAGTAGGAAAGAACATACATGCTGTGCTAAATAAGGCCTTTGTGTGCAGCATAAATTATATAAATGTGAAAGCTAGTAGACAACAGTTGTTAATTTGCATTTTGGTGTTCTCGACAGAGAAATTCTAGAATTACCAACCCACTAAACATAAATTTAGAAATTATGCCAACCAATCTATGATCTAGTGATTGAGAAGCTTCAGTTCCCCCGTTGTGACTGGGGATTGAGTGTAAAATTGTTGCATGTGAATTGTGATTAAGGCTTCATTTGGAAGAGAGATTATTCTGTGCGGACACCGGACGGGAGAACCGTCCGGTTTACGCTTAGGAACCGAGTAGCACCGAGCAGTATCGCTGCTCGATACTAAGCTTGGTACCATACGTGATGCATTTTATTGGGATCTGGACTCCGCACAGAATAATATTTCCATTTGAGATGGCTTTCTTTTTGCTTCTTAAAGCAGTTTTTTAGCACAATTTTTTTTTTGTACTGAAAAGCAGCTTTGAGAAGTAGAAAGAAAGTCGTCCCAAATGAAGCCTAAATTTGTTCAAAAAATTCCATTAAAAAAAGGAATTTATAAATGAAGACCATTTGATCAAGCTATCCTAAAACTAATTAATCGCCCTTTACACCAGGCCCCACAGTATTTCTAGTAGTAAAGACATTGCCATTTTATAGAAAAACTAATTCGATCGAGTAAATTGTCAAATTACTGACCTGGTCATACTTTCTCGCTCTGATGAAAGCCTTCATGAGTGTGGTGTAGGTTATGACATCTGGACTGATGCCCTTAAGAAAAAAAATAATCATTGTTATATTAATAATTGAAAGAAAATCTGAAAAAAAGAAGCTGAAAGAAGAAAATTATTGAAGCATATATAGCTGTTCATAATTAGTACAAAAATGCATACAGTTTCCTTAATTTGCTCAAAAATAGCAACTGCTTCCTTGTATCTTCCAGTAATACCAAATGCATTTATCAATAAGTTCAACATTATAAGATTTGGCTCAATTCCTTCCTCTTCCATCAACTTAAGTACTTCGATAGTTTGTTCGCATGAACCCTATGGAGAAGAACATTGCATTAAAGACTATAAATCTCGGAAGGATTATACATAACAAAGGGGAAACAGTTTAAATCATGAAAAAAGCCTATCCACAAATGTAGGTAGTGGTGGAACCAGGTAATATTATAGTAAATTGAAAATTTGGTACCTCACCCCTCTCCCTCTCAACAACAACAACAACAACATCAAGCCTTTGTCCCACTAAGTGAGGTTAGCTACATGAATCCTTTTTCTCCACTGTGTAAAGTTAAATGTCAAATTCTTGTTTAATCTAATAAAGAAAGATCATTTCTAATATTTTCTAACCAAGTCTTTTTAAGTCTACATCTACTTTCTTAACATAGGTTAAATCTAATACCTCTACTTTTCTAACCGGGTCATCGGAAGGCCATCGTTTTATGTAACAAAACCATATAAGGCGACTCTCTCTAATTTTATCTTCCACTAAGCTACTCCAACCTTTTCACCCCTCTCCCTCTCAACCAACTAAAAATAAAATGTAAATAATAAATATAATGTAATATCAAAAAAACAAAAAAGATAAAAAATAATACTTTAAAACAATATGTATAAAGGTTATTGCAAAGAGTTTTGAGGTATTGATAACTTTTATGCAATATTGAAGCATCAGACATAATTTAAAATGCCTATTCGTAATAGCTAGATAAAATGAAATTTTGTTTTTAAAACTTTGTAGGTTGTTTTTATTTGCAAATGTTTTATCTGATTATGTTAGTCCAAAAAGTTCTAACTTCTAATTTTGATTTAGAGCAGTTCAATTTTAATTTCACCACCCATGTCTTTAAATCCTAATTTTGTTAAAGGTGCGTAAATTAATCTCCCACACCTATATTAATGGGAGCTCCTTGCATTGATTAAACCCTTTTGAACTAAACAAAGTTAGTCATTTAACTATTGGGATTAACGTTCACAGTTCCACACCATGAACAGGAAAAACTCAAGAGCAAAGCTTTAATAATGGAAATTTGCTAAGACACCCTTTTGAATTAATAATGCTTAGTGTGCGGTGAGGGGAGTGGGTTTGCATAGGAATGAATTGGGAAGCAGTGGGGGCAAAGAACGGCATGTGCATGTGCGTGCATTTGTGTGTGTGAAGTGGGCAAATGTTTTGTGAATTCGCATTAAAAGCGCGAACAACAACATCCATTGATAGTCTGAACAATGAAGAAAAGGAATCTTGTTAAGTGAGATAATATACCTGCTGAGCATAAGCATTTGCTAGTACACAGAAAACACTAGCTGAGAGCTGCAAGCCTTCTGCCTTAAGAGCAGAGATACACTTCCTAGAATCCTGGAAGCTCTTATATTGTCCATATATGTCAACAATGATGGCATAAATAATTCCACTTTTACCAAAACCTCTGCATTTCATGCTCTCAAATATATTTCTTATTTGATCCCACTTGCCTTGCTCTCCTAATCGACTAACAATGTCAAGAAAGATCTTGGGGTCAGGGTATAGTCCCTCTTCTTGCATCTTAGAGAAGAAACCAAGAGCTCGTTTCAAATCTCCAGCCTTACAATGCCATCGAATCAAAGAGTTCCAAGTCATGATGTCAGGCTTCACACCTTGGCTCAACATTTTATCAAACACCTTGAGAGCTTCATCAATCTCGCCATATTTACCAAAAGTATCTATTAAATCATTATAAAACCTTCTATATGGCACAATCCCCTTTTCTTGCATCTCCATGACAAGATTCATTGCCTTCTTCCACATGCCATTATCCCTATATATCCTAACCATTTTGCTATAAACAGAGGAATCCAATCGAAATTTTCTCTTCTTCATCTCTCCAAGAACCCACCAAGTGTCCTCCAACCTGCCACCATGGACATAGGCATCAAGGAGAAGAATGTAAGTCTCTCTGTCCCTCTCAATTCCCCCTTCACTCATCTCCACCAATAACTTATCAGACAGAAGCAACTGTCCCTTCCGCAAGAACCCTTTAAGAAGAAAGTTGTAATCCCTTTGGCTAGGTCGGAGGCCAAGCCACTTCATCTCTTGAAAAATCGCGTCAGCCTCCAGGGTTCTACCATGGCATCCAAGGACATCAATCATGCAGGAATACGAGAGAATACTAGGATACATTCCCTGTGCCTCCATCTGGCCAAGTAGATCAATGGATTTGTCAATGGAGCCACTGGTACAGTGGGCTTGGATCAAATTGTTGTATGATTCCCAGGAAAGTTCCTCTTTTTCTTCATCAAGTTTGGACTTTGAGGTCAAACCAGGTTCTGCGGGTGCTGCAAAGTTGGAAATTTTGCATCGGATTGAGGAAGGTGAAGGGAACCCACTCAATATAGACCTGGGAGGAGAAGAAAGAAGCAGGGGCGGGAATGGTTTGGCGGGCAACGAGATGAGTTTGGCAGCCATTTCCTTTCATTTGAACTCGACCGTTGAACTCTTCTCTGGTTTTGGGGAACTTGTTATCTGCTAATAGTCATAGCCAACGCCAACAAAAATTTAGCTTTAGGAACAAATAACAATCTAGAAAATCCAATCTCCAAGACAAATTTTACCATTGAGAAAATTTTCGCCTTTTATTTAACAGAGGCAAGGGTTTGAAAAGAAATAGCCTTAGGAAGCCCACTCTCCATCAAACTCTGTAGTACCAACCCAGAGGAAGAGTGCCACAAATACCCAACTGAAGAGAGAGATGAGAACGTAAAGGGCAAATTAAGAGGTAGAGAGAGAGAGAGAGAAGCCTGAAAAAACGCAGAGTTGCGAATATGTCAAAATATTTTATTATAATTTATATTGAATTGATTTTTAAAATTATTAAATTGATTTTACAATGATAATATATTTGAATTTATATTTTTTAATATTAAAATAAATATCATTATATTTAAATTTATTATGATACAAATTAAACTTGAATATTCTAACAATTTTCTTAGATATACAATAAATACTGAACCCAAGTCTTCAAAATATGTCAAATTTTAGAGATATCAAATAAAACTCAATAGTTTAATATATAACATTAGGAAATAAATAAAACATGGAATTGATATTTGATAAGTCATCGAAATTCATCTTGATCATACATGAATCTTCATACATATTTGAATTAGAAATTTCTGAAATTAAATTCAAAATCATTTGAACTCCAATTCCAACTAATTTTCATTCAAAAAGAATATCTCGACGAGAGGAATCCAATGATACTAAAAGTGGTTCAATCCGAGTTCGAATGACCCCATATCAAGTACTTGAAAGTGTAATTAAAAACTTTAGGGTATTAGTTAGATGACAAAACTATCTCCAAATCTTACAAGCTCATAGTCAAATTTAGCATACCAAAGAGACAAATTAAACAAGTTTAAGATCATTTAATTTCAACATCATAAAGCACTTAAATGTAGAAAGAATGATTAATGATCGAGAGAATCAATACGAGTCGTTTGATAAATTATTTTATAGTTTATATGCTTATTGGGCACGTCTCTCTAAAAAATATATAAATGGATATGTAATAGCCAGTATTTTGGCTTTGTCAATTTTTTTTTTTGGGAGTCATTATAACTCAAAATTGCAATCCGTCTTCGTCATAGTATTTTGATCGTAGTATTTTACTGCATGATTTTTTTTCATAATTTTTAGACACTAGTGAAAATCCTTATGGAATTTGTACCTGTCGGTACAAGTGAGGATTTGGGGACTTTTATTTGTCCTTTTTACAAACCCATTTAACTAATATTTTTTAAATAAATTGATTTATTTTATAGATATTTTTCTGTAATTTTTAAAGTCATAAAATAATTTATTTGAATTTTAAACTAAAAATAATAATTAAATTAATCATATAATATAAAAAATATTATTTTTAATAAAAATATCTAAAATCATTATTAAACAATTTTAAACCATTTTCTTTCTCCATGAGCATACGGTTAAAACAGAATGGAAAGAGTAAAGTAGGAGGAGAAAGGTAAGAGAGAGAAAAGAGAAAAAAGAAGTTGAGATTTGGAGGTCGCGGAACAATTTTTTTTAGTCTAGCCAATTGAGATATTTGCTCGTCTCACTGTAAGGATTCCATATCTTATTTCTGATTTTAAAGATTTTATATTTTTGACTTTTTATGATCAAAATTGTGTTTTTGTTACTGAAAAAAGTGAATAATTTTATATTGATCAAATTTGTGATTTTTGTGATATGCTGGGCTTTTTAAGCTCATTATATGTGGTTAACTGATTTAAGATCAGGATAGAAGAGCAGGGGTGTGAGGTTGATCAGAATTTTTCAAGTTCTGTTTCTTTTTTTGTTTATGATTTTTGAAAATGAATACATATATGTACATTGATGTTTTGAATTATAGAATATATTTTATTATTTATTATTAATAAATGATATTAACTAGCTTTGGTTGTCGCTTATTTAAATGATAAAAGAATAAATCAGTTAAATGATGCTCCATAGGATCTCTACCCTCTTCATAAGGCAAAAATCTTAAGCTTAGACTTTGGCTTGAGATTCTCATAGGCTCTAAGGATTCCAAAGCTCTACTTGAGCATCATCGACATACAACTATATGACTGTTGTTGTTGTATCAGTTTTAATTACCACCACTCAACTATAGTCCATGGAATTCTATTGCTTGACTAGAATTTGAGAACCTACATTATCCAACTACATTCATTTGACCACCATAGTTGGACTTTGATTTTTTAACCACAGTCACCATGTTATGATCCTCCAACTACAGTTGTTTAACTATGATCCTCTAACAACCATTGCTTGATTACGATCATTCGATAATAGGGTCTAGGCTATGGTCTCTTGACCACCATCACCCAATTACAGTTTGTTGATCATCGTCGCTCAACTACAGGCCGCAAACCAACATCGCTTGACTATAAGTCTCCAATCACTATAACTTGATTACAATCCTCTTATTACTATTATCTAACTACTATCCTCCAATCATCGTCGCCCAATTATGATTTCTCAATCACCAATCGCTCAACTAAAATTCTATGATCATCACCACATGGTTATGGCCTTTCGACCACCATCACTCAAATATGAGCTTTCTACTAATGCCCCCCTCATCACCCAACTATATACTTATGACCACTATTGCTTGACTGAGATCCTTTAACCATTATCGTCTGCTTATGGTCCTACAACCATAATCGATTGACTCTAATCCTATAAGTATTATCACTCGACTACGGTCTACCACCATCATCGTCGAGTACAATCCATCAACTATAGTTGTCTGATTATACTCCTTCAATTGCCATTATTTGACTAAAATCCTCCGAACACCTTTGCTAAGCCAAGGTCCCCCAACAGCCATCTGCAAATCATGTTGCCCCCAACTAAGGTATATCGACAACTAACGTTTAACTACAGTCCACCAAACACCTTTCAAGCATTTACGATCCTCCAACCACTATTGCCCTACTACGATCTTCCGACCATCATTTCCCGCGTCACCCAAATATTATATCTTGATCACATCTCTATTATGATATTCTTACTAACATTGTCCAATTAAGATCTTCCCAACTACTATCGCCCAACTACAATCATTTGACAATTATTGATCCATTAAGATCCTTGATCAAAGTGGCTCAACAACAATCCTTTGACCACATTCGCTCAACTATAATCCCTCGACCTATAATCTTTTGACCATTGTCGCCTAATTACACTAACCATTGTCAACACCATCTTCAATATCAAACATTGGCACTAGGATTTAAACTATGTTTCTTAGTCTTTGATCTCCCCTCCTAAAAAAAGTACAAATAAACATATAGTGACTAACCTCTTGAAGATAACTCCTACACCACTATTTCTTCAACTTCCATAATGTTATTCATTCTATAAAAAATGTGATATACTAAAATCTTCCAACTTTTATTATCCACTAAACCATGAAAAATAATTTAATTCAATCATAATACATCTTTTTGTCACGTCTTTCATTTCATAATGCTTTAGACAAATTATAAATAAAATTTCTTAAAATTTTGATGAGAAATTATTTATTTAATAAAGAGATGAATATTTTAAGAATAACTAAATCATTTTCTTGCTTTATGAGGAGAAGCAATATATAATTATTCCTCTATAATTCAAAAAGCGCCTACTACAAAGCTGAATCAATCCCTAGCAATACTATGATTTAAGTTTTATTTGGAATTATTTTCTTGCTGTTTTTAAAACAACATGTTAGTATAAAAATTTCTTAAAACTAATGAAAAAATTTCTCTCTCTCTCTCTCTACCTCTCATAAATATTTTTTTATAATATTTACACTAGTGAAATTATTTTAATTGAGCCACACCACATTACTTTTGCTTTCATGAATTTTTCATGTAAAAAATTCAGCATCTTTTATAATATTTACACTCGTCTATGATCTATGTGTTTGATGAATGTGAATGTATAAATGCTAACAAAACAAACTATCTAATTTTTTCTACTGTGCATGTAACAATATTATTATTGAATGTAGTGGCATATATACATTACAATATTTCATTTGATGCTCTCAGCATTTGTGTTTAAGTAGCGAGATTGAGCCAAAAACTTGGAATTCTGTTCAAACTTGCAATGAAAACTTCATACTTTGGAAATTAATAAAAATAAACATATACTTAGGCAATTCATACGTATAATTAGAAGATGGCTACACCTCTACAAGTGCTCACATCATATGCTTTGGATGAAACCCCATCTCTTAGAGTGGAGAAAAAAAAGGAAAAGAATAGCTCTCTTATGAGTTTTCAAAAAGTTCTAACCCAAGAGGCATACTCACTGATGCTTAGGCTTTGTTTGGGGTAGCTTTTGATCATTAATTTTTCATTGCTTTTATTGAATTTTTGTGCTTAAAAAATTACTTTTGAAAGCAGTAAGAAAACCGTCCCAAACGAAGCCTTAGTGTACAAGGCATAGGCTTGAAACAAATATGACCACAAAATGCCTTCAATTATCCAGATTTGAAGCATTTAAATATTGTTCTGAAACACTAAATGGATAAATATTCAATAAGAAACAAATAGATCATAGATCTAGCAAAATTTTCATAAGCATATACACCTTAGTTATCATGGTCATCATGGTCAGTACAGCTAAAAGTTCCAACCGAAGAGGCATACTCTATTAATCTTAGCGTAGAAGTCATAGATTTGGGATAGGCTGCTCATAGATAAAAACCAGCCTGTGACATTCTTTCAATTAAATATTCACTAACTCCATGTGAACCACCTTAAATAAAATGAACTACACCTTTAAATATCAAAATTCCTTTTCGAGCAACAATTAAGCATGCTCATATAGAAGCACTTCTGGGATAAGTAATCTCTTAAAACATTACACCAATGGGACAAAATCATGAGGCCATTAGAACAAAGCAGATAATCTCAATATATCAATAGATAAGAATTTGAGTTGTTACATTCCATATGCCAAATCTATTTATAATTAACTTTGTGCCCTTATTCTCTATTATTGGCCTCATGCTTACTTATCTATAACTATTTTCATATCGGACTTCCAACTAACAAAATATGTCATAGATCTATACACTTACCTATAACTATTTTCATGTTTACTTATAAAACCTCACTTTTCATTGTTACATTCAATTTTGTTTTCAAAAAATGAAAGAAGCTACAATGAAAATGCATTCATTCATAGATGATATACTCACTTGGAAGAATATGCATCCACTCCCCATATGGTGGCGATCGCAAGATGCAACCCGGTCAAACCATACATTCTAATTTGGCATCTTGATTGAGTCCAACAAACCAAACCGATTTTGTAAAAAACTTTAAAGTGAAAGGAATGGTTGAGATTAAGACGATTGCAACATGCAATTATCATGTAATCCAAAATAATCCATGTATAAATTTAACTTATACGAAGTTCTTATATACATACTTAAAAACAAAAAGTAAAAACCTCCAAATATCTAACCTAAACATGAATATTTATACTCAATGATGGAAAGACTAGAAAATGCACCATTCTCTCTATTATCATGTATCTATTTTATTAAGTGGTTGTTTGGTTTGTTGACAATTGCTATGTGATGCTATATTTTTTGTTCATGCCACATCTGTCTAAATCTATATGCTACTTAATGTATTATAAAATAACAACAAAAAAAGATCATAGCTATAGTTAAGCTTCTAGATAACATTGCAAATTAAAGTAAGTTAACCAAACACACTATATTTAATAGATAACAGCATTGCCTGAATGCTATTTTCACCTAGATAGTGCTGCTATCTACATAACATATAACCAAACAGACCCTAAGTTCATACAGCCAATCAATATTAATTTCCTTCATAATCACTTTCCCAAGATGTTTTCTACAAAATCATTATTTTTCCTGAAAAAGAAAGATCATCAGGTAAAGAGGAATTAACAGCTACAAAAAATAGAACACAGGGCATAAAAATATACTCTCTATACCAAAACACATCTTCATATAAATAAATCAAGGAGTGAAAGTAACCATTTAAAATTACTTCATTAAATACCCTAAATCAGATCAAACAAGCCGCAGTACCTTCTTCAAATTATGACGTTATGCATCGTGCATATTCAGTCAAAACTTAAATAGAAACATTGAGTAGTTCTGTAAACTCGAACTAAGATCAGAAATTCAAAAGCTCGCAACTTTTACTTTAAAAGGAAAATCTTGATGACGAAGTGAAAAAGCAAATCAAGGCCCAAAAAACCATCTCTATAAAAAAAAAGCTAACTTCAACGGATCCAAGAAATTCTATATCACTTGCTGAATAAATTCAAGGAATCGAATAAAAAACCGATCTTGCAAAAGAAAAACGCATCATTTCCCAGATCAGGATCACCAAATCTTCGCTCTCCGCAGCCGATTCAGTTGATGCAAGGCAGGATCCAGTTCCGATCCCGAAGGATTCTGCCCGGTCCCGACCTGCACCAAGCGAATCAGCTGCGGCGGCGACAGGCGGCCACCAAAAAAGAAAGCCCTTGACTTTGCCGGAATCTCCAGATCTCTGGTCTTCTTACCCTAAACTTAATCGGTGGAAAGGGGATCTCACTCGCTTCACAAGAGAATCGTCTTTCTAGATAGCGACAGTGGATGGTAGGCTATGAAAGGTTAGGTTTAGGCTGTGGACTCCTCACAGCGTAGTTGAGCATTGATTTCAAATTTGTGAAATATTTATTTCGTCCATCAGATAAATAAAAAATAAAAATTTCTTCTTTTGATGGAGTACGCATTGTCATAAAATACAGGCATCAGATAACATATAAAATTATTGTGATGAACAGTAATATTCTGTATTTTATTTCATGTCATATCAATATCTTTTAGATTTTATTTTATGTAAATTTCTTTGAATAAAATACGATTATCCCTATAAAATAAAGAGGGCCATCTTAGCATATGTAGATTATGCAAACATATATGACCTTATTGAGCTTAAAAAGTATTTTATCTGAACTTACTTTGGGGCCAATAGGAGATTATTAGGAATTTATTTAGCTCCATTTATTCACTGTTTTTTTTTTAAATTAATTTTGCAATTGATATTTGAATATCTTATATAACTTTATTAGTATATTGATTTCAGTTATGAAACACCTCACCTTTCAATTCATATTAATCAGAAATGATTATATAACAGTAAAATATTAATGCAATCATATGAAATGCGAGGTAATGAAAATTGGACCAGACAACGAATACGAAGAAGGAGAGGTTCAAGGTTCGACCGGTTCGAACTGGGGTCGAACCGGATAATGTAATAAATAATAATATTATTAAAAATTAATAACATTAATAGAATAATTACGGAAATCTAACTTAAAACTATATAATTCTAAGAATTTGAACTATATAATTTTAATAGATTATCTCTCAATATAATTGATACGGACTCAGAAAATTATCTTGATCGAGCACGAATCTCGAGGCAAAAACTAGTTGGAAACTTCAAAATTTAATTTTGGGAGCTCCCGAACTCCGATTTCAGCAAGCTTATAGTCAAACTGAGCGTCTCGGAAATACGAACCCAACTACACCAAGATCAACCCAATCCGAGCCCAAATGAGTATGAATCAAGGGCTCAAAGCGCTGTAGGAAGGTTCAAACCGCAATTTGAATTACCAAACAGTCTCCGATTTTGACGAGCTTATACTCGAATCTAACGGCTCGACGAGACGAATCCAACGAGCTCAAGATCGCCAAATTCCGACATCATTAAGGCCTTCAAATGCCCAATGAACGGTGCATGATCAAAGGATTCGATATCGGCCGTCCATTTAAAACACTCCCAATTCGCCCCTGATCTCATGCCTATTTGCGGGCTATGCCACTCCAGAAAAATTATAAATAGAGCCCTCATTCTACACCAAAGGGACTCAAGGAAAGAGAGAAGAAGAAGAGGAGAAAGGGGAAAAAGAAAATCCTCACCTCCTCGACCACCGCCAAAGCTCTTTCTGCCGCCTGAAGATGCCGGAACTCTGCCGGATTTTCGGGAAACGCCGGGAATTTGCATAACTTTGTAACTTTGTGAGAAGTTGATTGTAAATTGATCGTTTTGATTTGTAAGACGAATCAACCTTTGTACTTCAAACAAATACTAGTGAAATTTTGCAACTGGGCGATGCCCCGTGATTTTTTCCCTCTTTCGAGTTTTCCACGTAAAAATCTTGGTGTTCATTTCTCTTTTCTGTTTGTGTGCGGAATACTCGTGCAACGCTAAGACGAATATTTTCTAACTCTACTGCCGCGTATATTCTAGCACGCAACAATAATTAAATTAAATTGAAATTATGAATATAGTTTAATTATATTATATTTATGAATATCTAATAATTTAATTATAATTATAATAAATGAGATTCTTATAATATACATTATAACAAATTAAAAATTTTAATATAATATATAAATTTATAATATTAAATTTATAAATGTGTAATAAGAATAATATTTAATATAATATATAAATTTATATGAAGCCGCTGCCAGGAGTTAATAAAACCGGGATTAAAAAAAATTGGCATATAATGAAATAAGTAAAAAAAAAAAATTAGGTTTACGGTAAAGTCCTATTCTCGTTCATTCGCTCTTTCACGCAGGTTGCAGCCGCTTCTTTCAGTCCCGTTCCTTTCGCGTTTCAACGGGCGACCGACGCTGCAGCTCTTTCACACTAATGAACTATCACAAGCTTTACAGAGAGGAGAACAATATATTGTTAATGCTATGTCGTTGGTTCATATATGTAAAAAAAGACTAAAGGATATGAGAGATAACAAGTGGACTGACTTCATCAGTAATGTAACATCATTCTGTCAGCAACAGAAAATCAATGTTCCACATATGGATGACAAGTGGGTTGCTCGTGGTCGGTCACGCCGTAGAGCTCAAGATATAACAAATTTATATCATTTTCGGGTTGAAATTTTTTACACAGTGCTTGATATGCAGCTTCAGGAGTTGAACAATCAATTCACAAAAGTAAATACCGAACTGCTATTGTGCATTGCATGTTTGAATCATAATGATGGATTTCATGCATTCAACAAAGACAAGTTGATTCAAATGACACAATTTTATCCAACTGATTTTAGTCTTGTTGATCGGGTGGTTCTTGAAAATCAATTGGATACTTATATCATGGATATGCGATCTGATGATCAGTTCACCTCATTAAAAGATGTTGGAAGCCTTACTGATAAAATGATCCAAAGTAGAAAGGATATAATATATCCTATTGTTTTTAAACTACTGAAATTAGCATTGGTATTACCTGTTGCTACAGCCGGCGTTGAAAGAGCATTGTCTGCCATGAATATTATAAAAAATTGACTGCGAAATAGGATTGGCGATCAATGGATGAATGATTTATTACTTGGTTATGTTGAAAAAGAAATTTTGGATTCTATTGATAACGAAGTTATCATTCAACTCTTTCAGAATATGAAGAGTAGACATTATAAATTGTAAGTTGTTTACTATCTTGTATTTAATATTATATGTTTTGAGATAATTATTAATAAAAAAATTTTAAAACTGCCTATGCTGGTCCCAAGCCCGGATGAAAAAAGTTGAGGAAAAATTTTACTAAATTAATTTAGGCCCCCCTTTGATAAAATTCATGGCTCCGCCACTGGACCCAACCAACCGTTTATCATCAATCTTTTAGAATTTTAACACTAATATTATTGGTTTGGATGATTAGCAAGCTAATTATTTCCTACTTTAAAATTTTATTGGCAGGAAGTTAAGAATAAGGAGATTATAACTTATTTTAGCCTCAACAACAAAATCTCCCTTAAGAAGCTAGAAATTTTTATTTTGGGAGATACAAATATAGTGATGGACCTAAAAAGATTTGATTACAAAATACTGAATTGACATTTCTTTATTAGATTTAAACGAGAAATTAACTTTTATAACATAACACAACGGAGAAAAAGGATTCAAATAGCCGACCCCACATAGTGGGATAAATGCTTGATGTTATTATTGTTGGATACACAAATTAATCATTTTTAAAATATTTCAAAATTTTTTGAATGATTTTCTTTTGTCATTCGATTTAGTAGTTCATAGAGAAATAATATATTGATCAATCAAGAATATACATATTTATTTTTAATAAATTATTAATATTATATTATATTCATTGTATAAATCTACAATTATCTTATTTCACTTTAAACATTGAGGTATTAGTTTTATAAAAAAGAAATGTATAACATACACATAAATTTATACATCTAAATATATATGTGATTTTTAGTGATGCAAATTTTAGATTTTTTTAACATATTAATTTTGAATAGAATTATCAATTGCAAACTTATGTTATATGCAAAAAGTTCACCAAAGTTTTGGATTTTGATTTTTATAGAATTTAATGATAATTTTAAGTAAAATATAATTAAATTGAGTCCTTAACAGATTATGTGGCCTAATAGATGAGGGCGCAACCTATAAAATCTGAGGTTTTCAATTTGGGGTTATTATATGCGTAAATTGATTTGGGCTTCTCTTTCGGGACAAAATAAAATTGGGCTTAAAATTAATGGGCCTTTGAGTTTTATAAACAAACTTTAAGTTTTGATATAAATGGGCCACTCACTGTAAATCTGCTAGTCTATCGTTTGCTCCCAATCTCTTCAACATATAAATAGTTAAGGAGATTTACATAGACTAATTCCTATATATTTACACAAATAACATAAAAAAATTTGTATTTATTTCTATAATACTCTAGTTTCAAAATATTATCAAAGATATGCATAAAAAATATACATTTCATTTTGATATTTTCTATGTGATTTAAAAATTTAGATATATGAATACCTAAGAAATCAAAGTTACATCAATCATCTAGCCTGATAAGACTCCTACTTGTTCAGACTCCATGGCTCGATCTCAGCTCCTCTGCCTATCCATCCGCCGACGCCAGATCGAGTCGAACCCGCCTGACCTTCATCCCTCAAGCATCTCTAGCCCATTCAGACTCCACAACAGATTGATGTATTGTTGTTCTTTGAAGGATAATATGAAAACAAAAAAATTTAGCTATATGTATCAGATGTGAACAGTAACACAGCTAACTTTAAGCAATGGTTGCTGGTTCAATTAAAATTCAGTTGGAAAAAGAGTCCAATATGGTAAGTATGAAGAGCCACTTTAACTATATACAAAGCATTTTATGCTTGCTTGGTATCATCATTTATTGAACTTTTTATTTGTTCTGAAAAAAGCTGTTCTCAGTTTTAGTACCCTAAATCCACTGAGCTAGAGTTTTAACTATATACCCTAAACCCTAGACCATTCTCCCCTGAGCTAGAGTTCAGCTATTTGATATAATAATGTTTCATTTGAGACAATTTTTCTAATGTTTCTTAAAGCAGGTTTTCAGTACCCAAAAAAATAAAAAAAGTGCTATAATAAGTAGTAAAAAAATCATTCCAAACAAAAAATATATTTGACTCTCCACATCTTATTGATCGAATCATATTCGAGCCGAGTAGATACAAGTGTTGGGTAGCTCGGTGAAGCCCAATTTAGCTATTTTCTGGAAAAAAACAAAGCAAAACAGAGCATCTTAGATTTCGTTTGGAGCAGCTTTCTTATTGCTTCTTAAAACAACTTTCT